TGCATTGAGTTTATTTGGAAAACGTAGGAATAATTACGTGCATACTTGTGTTGTCATGCTGATTGAGTTACAGTTGAAAATTTTTAGTGTGAATCCCATTATAGATGTACCGTACTATTATGTCTGAATAATTGTACCGCTTTGAGGCTCTGACGGTCATTAAGGGTAGTCCAGGATAGGGTATTGAGAGTTCGACACTTGTATACAGGCAATGCCAGGAGGTCCCTTGGTGGCCTTAGGACTGCAGATAGGCACCTTGAGCGCTGTATATATGTAGGCCAGGCCTTGAATTTGTATGTATAATATACTGATGTGGCATCCTGAGTCTCGGTGGGCAACGATGGATGCATTGATATTGATTTGCGCGCAGGAAAAAGGCCATATTATTCTAAGCTCATACGGTACACTATAATAAGGATTTGGGCCCATGTGTGTTTGACATGCATCATTGCATCATCATATATTTACTGAACTTTATGAATCACGTTTTGTATTTTGTACTGTAGATGCCACTGCGAGAGACTGAAAATTTCTGAATCACCAGACATGCTGAAATTACTAAGGACCTCAGTGCTATACATGTTATATATAGACGTACCCACTATACATGTTTTTATACGGTGATTGACGAGGAAGAAGAGGTCGAAACTTTTGAAGACGGGGAGGATTTTGTAACGGTAATGATTGATGTTTACGACTTGGTCACTTGTCGTTATGTAAATACTATAATGTATGTGGAGTAAACAGCAAGTGGTATTGTGTAAAATAGGAAAATGATGCCTAGTAAAAGAGTGTAGTAAAAATGAAAGAATTTTGACAAACTTTGATATATCGTCATATCAGCCTGCTGTAGAATAGATCTATAGGAAACTTTTGAAAAATGTGCAGGCATTTCTTTTGATAAAAAATTTTTGATAGTCATATGATTAAGGTGTAATGAGGTGTATTTTGTAAAATAAAATTCTCTTTTGGTATAATATAAACTTGGCGGTTCTTTTAATTCTTTATATTCTGAAATTTGATTTCCTTGATATGTTTTGATTAAACTGTAAAATGTTTAATATGATTTTAATCTAAGGATAACAATAAATAAATTAGGGAAATTAAGAGTAGTGCGTTACAGACTGAACGGTAAATTGACATCAAAATGAAATTGACCCAACCCCAATTTGTATTGACCATTTGAACCAACCTAACATTAATTAGTGCTGCTCATTGCCCTCCTCCATTTACTTGGACAGCGTACAGACGAAATCCACTTAAACGCCCACTTAAGCCCTTAATTGGGCATGACCCAAAATCGTGACCTAATTCTACCTATTTGTTCTTGGGCGCCCCTTTCTTGCTTCATACAGTTTCAGTCTATCTCTGTTTGTAAATTATCTGTTCCCTTTTGCTTTCTCTTCATCCATCGCCGTATTCCATTGGTGCATCCTAAGTGGGTGAAAGAAAGCAACCATAAATAAAGAGCCATTTTGAGGGCTTTGTGTTGATTTTGATTGAGGTATCTATTGGAGGAGAAACTGCGCCTAGTTCAAGCTTTGATGGTCATCATCTTTCGCTTAACATTTGGTATCAGAGCTTTGTGGTCCTTCTCCAGCTAGAAATAGACGAAAGAAAGCTGAAAATATGAATTTCTTTGAAGAGGACCAAATCTAAAAAAACATAATTTCAACAAAACCAGTGATCGACCGGGAAATTTGAGCCCATATTCGGGCTTTGCAGGTAGAGGCACCCTTTGATGTATGGCTTGTAACGGTGGCGACATGTGAACTCTCTCCTACTACGACGCATGTCGACTGATCTCAGCGAGCTCCCTTCAGGCAGCTTGCTTGTTTTGATTTCCTAAAGGTACTGATACTGTTGATTTTGTGTTTCAAGATTTCATGGACACTCGATTTGCAATCATTGGCCAATTAGGCATTGATACGTATTGTTGTTGAATCTTTACGGTGAATAGTGGTGGCCCTAAAGCAGATACGCATCTCTCGATTTTACGGGCTAATGATTTTCAAAAGTAGAAGAATGTTAAGGAACAAAGTGCTCAAATCAATGTGACAAAACATGACAACCTTTTTGATAAAGAGAAAGATATCAATCTTTATGCGGTAGTTTCTAAATGCAAGGTAGTACGTAATATTGGGGAATGACGAGTGAATATTAGACATACTTGTAACATACGTGCAAATTGTTGGATGTTCTTTACTTATAAAGCTATGGATAATGAAGAGCAACACTATATGAGAATTTCTTCATATTTCAAAATTAAAGGATATTAAAGATAATACTGAAAATGACGAGTAACAAGGAGCTCAAATTGAATTATGTTCTTTATATGCCAGAGATTTGTAAGAATTTACTGTCTAGTTCTCGGAAAAAGAAGAACGGGTACAAGTTAGTCTTTATATCAAACAAATTTGTCCTTAATAAAAGGTAAATAATTTTGGAAAACTGTATCTTAATAACGGGCTCTTTAAAATGAATGTAAAGACAATTGTACCTCCAATTATGAATAAAATTAAGTCATTCTCTTACTTGCTTGAGTCATTTAATTATTGGCATGAAATCCTAAATTATATAATAATCACTCTTGAGTAGAATTAAGTATGTTTTCTCATGTGATCTTCCTTCTATCTCTATGAAATATACAAACATGAAAGCAAACTTGAAAACATTAGAATAATTTTATTGAAATCATGCAAAGTATAGGGATATAGAAACTTTTATTGAACCTCACAACAATTGTTGTAAGTGCTATCTATACCATTGTTTTTTTCGATAACAATAAAACTCACAAATCAATCCAATTTGTAATCAAGTAATTGAAAAGCATTAAACACAACAACAATCATCCGAAAACTCTGGCATATTGGGTATCAAAAATTGAATTTATATTTAAAAAACTTCATAACAAGGATTTGTCTATGCTTTAAATAAAACCCAGCCTAGCTTACAGAATTACAAGAAATCATAATTAATTCATAGAACATAACTTGAATGTTTCATAGATGAAGAAAAAGAGAATGAATCTTGAAATTCTTAATTCTTTCTAATGGTTTCTTTACTAAATCCTGCTGCACCTTCTACTTCTTTCCTTAATAATGAAGGTTGGATCTTCAGTTGATAGAAATCTTGCAATTCCTCTTAATTCTCTCGCGAGAATTATGATTTTGCCTCTCTTTGATTGTTATAATTGATGAATATTAGAGTATTAGATGTGTCTTCAATGGTTGTCCATGTTCTTGATTTATAGAAGGTGAAATTAGATCAAGAAACACGTTTACATTGGGTTCTCATCGAATAAGGAAAGTTGCATTCGAGTCTTGCACGGTTTTATCTCTGCGCATTCGTCTGTATTTTTGTTATATTTCTTTTTCGATATCTGATTTAGATAATTCAAAGTGTATTGGAAAGTTAATTCAAAGGACAACAATTATTTTAGAAAAAGAAAATTTTCAATTTAAAAGTTCATTATGTAAAAAATGGATCTCCGTATCTAGATGAGAATTTGGATTAGTGAAGTACTTTTGACTGTATTTCAATGTTTCACTCCTTAGACTTCTAATGGCATCCAATTGATCCCCTATGATCTATAATCAATATTTTGTTGTCCGACCCAATTTCACTTTTAATCATTGAGTTTTACCTAATAAGCCCTTGTTTGATTCCTATTCTTTCAAAAATTCATTTTCTCAACAATCATTTTCAACCACACATTTTTCAATAAAATAATATTACACGTAAATTTAAAATTTTTCCTTAATTTTTAATCACACATTCTCCATCAATCACTATTTAAAAATATATTCTTTCACATAAAATGGAATCAAACAGGGGCTAAATAAAATATATAAGAAATTAGACTATAATTAATTATAAGAACTCCTAAATGTATATACTTAAAGGCCTAGATAAGTGTATAGAATATACTTATTAGCTGGATCAAATAAGAGAGAGAATTTTGAGTTTTTGTCAAATAAGACATTAAAGTTTAGAGGGAGATTTTGTGTGCCTAAGGTCGAGGAATTGAGAAAGTAAGTTCTATAAAAAGCTCACTCCATCCCGTACGTCGCTTATCCTGGTGGTACAAAGATGTATCAAGACTTTTGATGTATATTCTGGTGAAAAATATGAAAAGAAGTATTGAATCTTTTGTTAGTAAGTGTATAATCATTAAAGATTTGCAGGGTTGTTAAAAGCTTTAGAAATACCGGACTAAAAATTGGAGCAGACTGCCACGAATTTTGTACTTGATTTTTTCAAAATCGGTGAAGAGAAATAATGCCACTTGCATAATTATTGATCGATTAACGAAGATTGCTCATTTTCTGCCAATGAAAATAACATTAGCTTAGATCAGTTGACTTTGCTATAAATGGAGATAGTCAAATTATATGGGGTTCTAATATTATTATTTCGTACAAATACTTGACATTTATATCAAAGTTTTGGAAGAGCTTAGATGGAGCTTTGGGAACAAAATTAAATTTTAGCACAACTTTTCATCTCGTCAGCTGGTCAATTTGAAAAGACCATATAGGCATCGAAGAATATATGAGCTTGTTTGTTTTATTTACTGTGAAATTGAAAGTCTTACTCATCCAATTAATCCAATTACAAACTTTGTCTTTCATATTCCAATTTTTCCAAATCCAAAACGTTACACATTTCCAAGGGCATACATATCTAGTCCAACCAACCAACCAACCATCTCATGTTCCAAATCATATTTGAAAGGAAAAACATTTTATTGAACTTATTTGCACAAGCTGAAATTGTTAAAGATCACTTTATGGTTAGAGGTTCAAGAACTTCCACGTGGCATTTTAATTACTTAAATATTTTACGTTCCTATTTTACCCTCAAAACATTTTCATTGTACAATGTGCCTATGTAATAACGATTGGCATTTTCTGTAAATAGTACCATCTTCAAGGCTTTTCAAGCATCACGTTATTGATCTTTTTCATCCCCCAACCCCACGCCTCATTTCTTAAGTCGCAAAAATGCTGAGAATTTTTTCATTTGATTAGATCCTATGGCGCTCCTGGTACCTGTCCGGTGCACACGTTTTCCTGTACCACTCAGGGCACACGTTTACCCCAGCCGCCGCCTGTGCCACACTATCTCCGCCACGCTATCGTCGCGGCCTAAAGCAGTGGACTGGGTGGAGAAAACTTCAAGCTTCTTCGAAAATGACTCCCGACCCATCATGTTATTTGACGGTACTGATAATCGATGTTTTGGTCATATAATTCTTTGATTTGAGGAGAATAATTGAAATGTCTATTGAAAGTTAAAAGTAACTCACAGACTGACAACTTACGAAAACTTAAATTATAATAATGGAAAATAGTTTCTTATAATTGAACTGCGTTTAATTTGTTGCTAAAATATAATTTGTACAGATTTAAACTTCAGTGAAGAATAAACGAATAATAATTTCAGTGCTATGTTACAAATTGATCATTACGTTAGGCCAGCTTGACAATCTAGTTGGTAGTTTGGTTGAGTAAATTTTAGATCCTCACGTCAAGATTTCCTAGCTACTAACTTGGAAACTTGAACAAAGTTCAAGTTTATTTACAAATATAAAACCAAAATAAAGTTCTTGTACAAGTTTAAAGACCACCTGTGTGTTTAACCACAATTTTGCACATCATAGTCTATATGGAGCATGCAACTCGAAAATAGCAGGTGCATGTATGGTGCAACTTAAGCTAGCTTTTGGGGTGAAAGAAGCCTAATACCACCCAACAGTGGTATCAAAACCCGATTTATCAACGAGTCTCCACCCCAATAGTCATGAAAATACGGGTTTGTGAGAGGGTAGACGGATTTAGTCTCCCACTGGCCTTGTTGTGTGAAAGGAAGACAGGTTTGGTCTCCTGCATCGATGTGTGGTGGGCGACGTGTTTGATCTCCCGCAAAGTCCGATGTGTGAAGGGGAAATTGTTGAGGTTATTTCACATTGGTTGTGTATCGAGTTGGTATTCAGTTTATAAGTGTGAGAAAAAACCTTACATCTTGAGCTAGTTTTTGGGGTGAGAGATGCCCAATACCATCCAACAAATAGTATCAGATCGTCAGGTGGTTTGGAGTACTGGAGCAATAGAAAAATATATCGTCGTTGAAATATGAAGGGGAGAAATTTGACGGGAAAATCAATTTTGACTTGTGGCAAGTACAAGTTAGGGATTTATTAATTTAAGCTGAACTGCACAAGGTTTTTAAAAGCAAAATAATCTAAGTTCTGGCAAGAAAGTTGAATCCAATATGAGCGATGAGGATTGAGAATAATTGGATTTAAAGGTTGCAAAAACGATACGTCTCTATTTGGCTAAAACCCTTCTTTCAAATATTCATGGGATATCTGCTGCAAAGGAACTATGGGAGAAGTTGGAAGAATTATATGAAACGAAGAGCCTTTCAAATCGGTTGTACATGAAGGAGTAATTTCATTCATTGCGCATGGAGGAAAGTATGAAAATTTCAGACCATCTGAGTGTTTTCAACGGGATTGTTTCAGAACTGAAGGCTATTGGCATGAAGATAGATGATGAGGATAGGGCACTATGGCTCATCTGATCTCTTCTGTCTATTAATGAACATATCAAGCCAATCTTGAAGTATGGGAAGGAAATTGTGAGTTTCGCAGAAGTGACAAGCAACTTGATCTCAGAAAAAAAGATTAGGGGGGTAGAATATTCCATTTGACAATGTGCTGCTTGTGACTGAAAAGAGGAAGAAGGGTAATTCCATGATGAAGAAAGCAACTTGTTGGAATTGTGGTCAGACTGGCCATGTAAAGAGAAATTGTACAAAAGGTGGAGCAAGGTCGGCTAACTGCTTGGGATCGGACAATGCATCTCTCTTGGTTGAGGAGGACGTAGATTTGGTGCTATAATGTAAGATGGGAATATCCTCATGGCATGTTGTCAGTTGCTATGATAGAGAATGTGTTTTTACTAGCACGGGTAAGCATATTTGTATATAGCATTGACTGACATTTTATGCAAGGTGTGTAGGTATGTGGTGGTGTTGTGATGTCGCTAGCTGATGAGCTCTTTGGAGAAGTCAGTGGGAGAGTTACACCATAACTATTAGTAAGGTTGTTTCGACAAGTAGCCGATGAAATGATAGGAGTTCACAGATAATTCTGAGTGGTTATACTCATATGATGGAGTATGAGACCGTTAAAGTGTGTCAAAAGCTTACCTATTTTTTTAAAGTATTGTGATTAAAAGTTGTTGAAGAGATAACGAGATTTTGACTCGTTTTCGGTAAGGTGAAGATTGTTGGATAATTGCCTCAAAAGTCAAAAATTGGAGGACTTCTATTATAAGTAATAAAAGGTAGTGATTGTATGAAAAACTTTTAATAAAAGTTGAGAGTAGATTTCTTGCAGAATTTGGTGTCCAATTTCACAGCCGATTTTGGACTCTTGTACAAGGAGTCCTTGTTTGAGTTTAAATTGAAGCCTTCTACTTGATTATTGATCCTACAAATAGTAGATGCATTTATTATTTCCCATGTGTGGCCTGAGAGTTGATCCAAGATAAAAATATTGTGAGCCTAGTATCTTGAGAGTTTTCATATAAATAGTTGAAAAGTGAGTGTGGTTAAGCTCGAGTTTATTTTTCTTTGTAATACTTGAGATTTGGGTTGGTGAGTGAAATTCTATATTGTGAAAATGTATGTATAGCCAAAAATGCACCACACCTAACATCGGGTCAAGTTAGCCCGGGCCTGGTCACTGCGACCCCCTTTGTGAGGAGGCACCCCTTCTCCCGGAAATTTCAGCTTCGGAATCTCAATTAATTGAATCTCCCGCTCCAGGTATTATTTCGCCGCTCTTGCAATTGGGTCGTTGCGATTACGGGTTGGTATTCGATTTCACCCAAGAAAAATGACCCATTTAAATTTAATAAATGATTACTTGTTAGATCCAATCTCCTGGTCCCTGCGGAAAGGAAAAAGAATTTCACGCGCTCCATCCCCGCAGGGGCAGAGAACCCGTCGCTGTCTTTGTTGTAACAATTTTCATTTTGTGAAAGGCTTTGACTGTCCGTTTAATGTGTGTTATCAAATATGGAGTTTAATTAATCCTAACTCTTAACATATAAAATTCTTGATTTCACCAGCGTTAGATTGTTGGTGGTGTGGCCCATGCTTGCTATTTATAAACACTCAACTCACTTTTCATACACATTTTAAAGACCCACAAATTGTATTCACTTATCCACCATACAATTTCTATCTATTCATAATTTAAACCATCTAAAAACAAGTTGAAAAAATAAAAATAAAAAAATAAAATAGATTGGCACTTGACAATTTAATAGGATGAAGTTGAAACGAAGCTTAGGATTAGCTACAAATATAAAATAAATTGATGTTATTGTACAAGTTTAATGACCACCTGTGTGGTTAACTCTATTTGTACATCGTAGTCTAAATCGTGGAGCATGAGGGTTTCATGTCAATTGACTCTAAGGACAACCTCGTTAAGGAGGCAAATGAGAGTGGGAAAATTTAGATGATACAAAATGCTGTTAAAATCCCATTATGAAATTGATAGAGACAAGTGTGTGTTTATGGTTATGGGATTTTAAGACATGCTGTTGAAACTTATGTTCGCTTCATGCAATAGGTGTGTGCAACTTATGCAATGGAGGCGTTAGATTTGTCCGAGCCAATGATCGACAAAGGTTTGAGATCCTTACCTCAAATTAAATGTGATTACATTTCAAATAATTTTTACTTTTGGGATTTTTGACATTTAGTTACAATTTTTGTTTCTTACATAACTTGCATTCTTGACTCGTAAAAATTATCTATGACTGATAAATAATTGTGGAAGGAAATTTCAAGAAGATTTGCTTTGTTCTTTTGCATTGATGTGCTTTATTTCACAAAGGAATATCGTTTACAGCATACTCATTCTTTTCCAGCTTCTAAATTCAAGTTGGTAGATGTAAATTTGCAGAATGGGAGGCTTTATAAGAAGCTAACATATAATTGAAATGTCATCATAGATGTACCAGGCTTTTGAAAACATTATTATTTTGCTTGACATTGTTTAAGTTGTCTTAACTTTTTCTTTCATCATTCTTTGTAGAAAGAAAACTTCAATTGGCTAATGCTTTTAAGAAACAAATCGATTTAGAATAACCCTCAGACCTTTTGAAGATTTTTTTTTTTGTGTGTTGGGGGGGGGGGGGGGGGGGGGGGGGTGCATTTT